TAAAGGCTCTTTATGAAGGAAAATGTATTGATCATTGGGTGATAATGTCTGGCGGATCTCCAGACTATCAACGCTAGAACTTTTTTGTGCAATGCAAAATTAATTAATAATATCGTAATTTGGTGTATCTTCGTTAAACTATATTTAAGTATGTTATTCTTTGTATGTGGAATTTGCAACATATGCTTTTTCTGTAGTTTTTGAAACCCTATTTCCATTCATGATAATCGTGTGCTATTATGCTATTTGTTAATCTACATAGACAGTCTAGAGATAGTCAGATAAAGCACACGTACATTGAATAAGCGTACTAACAACCATTTCAGTTCTTTACTTAAAATAGTACATGCCCAAGACATGTACTAATGTACATGTGTCTAAGACATGTACTACTAAGACATGAACTGAGAGAGCTAGAGCATCGTAATTTTGTTTTGCTAACGACATATTTGCCGTTTAATTATATGTACATTTTAAATATGGAACGAAGTAATATGATTTGAGGTCTTGAAACCACTTCGGAACCACCTTTCTAAAACCAGCATCGATTACCTATCTTTTTCTCATGATTAGTAAACTTTCCTGAATGAAGTAAAGCGTAAGTTTTGTTAAAGAAATATACATGTTTTAAATATAATGCGATACAATAAATTGAACGTTAGTTAAAATTTATTAAGACATGTCAAAGTAAAATGTAGGCATTCCAATTAAGCTCCGACTTCAAAAAGTATGTGCGAAGGTTTAGAAGAAGCTCTGATAGGAGAATTTAATTTACTAAATAGTATGCTCCTATCTTAGATTATTAATATGTCTAGATAGAGCATCGCGCTGCAAAAGAACAAAAAGATATGAGTTTTCAATATTAGTCTTGCTATATTTGTTAATATTAAACTTGCGTCACGTCATTCTACTTTCCTAGTGTGCGTTCATAAATGATCCCAGTTGTGGATTTTTCTTCAAAATAGGGAAAAAATATAACAGTTTTGAATCTATTTTTAGTCTAAAAAAATATAGCTATATACAAGCTTGTATTATGAAAGCCAGATTGACGAAATGAATAGTTAAACCCTTTTTTGTAAATCCGTACATATTACATATAGAAAACACATTTTTTTACATATTACCTTTGCTTATGCCTTTCGTCTGGATTTATCAACTTATTTAACGTATTTTTATCTTTTTTATATAATTAAAAAATAAAATGATGTTAAAACATGGAATATAGTTTCATTATATAAAATTCGCTATTACACAGAAATGTTGTCATGTATGAGCACTCGACCATCGGATATTTTTTAATTTTTAAATAATCTCTTTCGAATAAACAACAACAATTTCTTCGGATTAGATAGAAACTCGCCGGTTTAACTAGCTGTGCAAAATGCAAAGCATTCAAATTCAACTGTCGTCATCTTCTGAACAGCACTTGGTTCTTATATTAAAGGAAAATATTTTTAAACCACGTTATAAGGCAGCTGTTTAAAACTTTTCGAACAATTTCCGTTATTGCAATCTCTAATTGGCTCGGAGCTATTAATTCCAAGTTTCTAGTAAAGTTTGCTTAGACGTTTCGTCTCTCAGCTACCGACATAGAACACCTGTTTGGATTTGAGGCGAAGACAAGAATTTACTTAAGCGACAACATTAGGTGAAAACGTGAGAACACCATTGGCTCGATATCGTGAACTTGTGAGGAAACCTTAAAGTGTCTTTGAATATTAAATGTTCGCTTTCGAAATGGTATACGGTTTGTTCGCTCCGTTGTGAATTTATTTACATGTTTTACACACAACGTGTATACGATGTGTTTGTGTACAATTGACTGTTACACTTCAATCGAAGAAGCGTCCTCAATTAAGGGTTTAGCCTAAAGTAATAACCTCTTTGTTTGGAGTTTTTTTGATCACAACTTAATCGCGATAATATGTATCAAGTATGTCAATATCGACTAAGCAGCAAAATTAAATATATCAACATAATATTTTAGAACTGTAACGAGTCCAATATGTGAATAAATAAAGGTCTATTACTAAATTACTAAACAGTCTACTATATCGTATGGGCTATGTTACATGCATTAAATAAGATAAAAAAAATATAGTTTTAACTATATTTAATGATTTTGAACGACTATAGTTTTGGGTTACAAAGTAAAAACAATTTTTTTCTGAAATTTTTATTAATACATATATTAGGGTTTTTAAACACTAAACAAATCCGACATCAAATAAAACATTTATTTTAAAACTATTAATTGAATTCAGTGCCTTTTATTTTATGAACGTATTGTGATCACGATCAATAGGCCTATCTTGTACGGGTAGATATCTAGGTAATTAACTTACTTTTTTTGATAAAATAAATATATAAGAAACACTCAAGAGGCAGACAATCTCTCAAAGTTAACGCAACTTCTGTTGCTTTGTGTATTTCTATTCACTTGTGACTATATTAATACGGCATTATGTATTGGCGGTAACCTGCGTAGGTATACTCGTATTAAAAATTTAACGACGTATTTCAACGGCTGTCTACTGTATCCATCAATCGCCTGTCTATACATATAGTACTATTTAGTAATAAAGCTTTTCCTGGAGCTTTCAAAGTAACTAAATTGGATATCACATTTAGTGTTTTTCATCTTTAAAATTATTGTCGTAAAAAATGAGAACTTCAAGAAGCAGATGTTTTCAAAATACTCTTATAAGTAAAAGCTATCCACCTTACTCAAAAAACGCCAGGTGATTAATTTTGTCATACAATCTACTCATCGCGTTCTTTCTTTTTTTTTCTTGGTAAAATGTGTACTATGTACTGTTCTTTACTCTTTCTTTGTGTTTACCCTGTTATAACGTGTATGCAAAATATACAAACTCATATTCGCATTTCTAACATTATGTGTAGGTTAGCATGCAATGACACAACCTGGTTGATTTCCTGTTTATTTGCTAGAACAGTTCTAGCAAATAAACAGGTGTAGGTATTAGCACTAATGTATTTACTCGACATTAGCCATTAGAGGTTGTCCCAAAGACGAAAAAGATTTTTGCCGAGTCATCCATTTTACAGTATGATTGATCGCTAGCTCTCTGAGTGTTATGTTTCTTACATCTTCTTTTCACTTAAATATTAAATTTGAAATATGTATTTACAATAAAGTTGCCAATCTAGTCATGTAAATTCGAAAATAAATATTATACAATAAAGGTATTAAAATATTTGAAACAATTAATCCAAATATTAACAAATGCGTGCAACTTAAATCGCTTTAGTTATTAATTCTCACCAAATTGCAAAAAAAAAAAACACATACATTTATTTCTTTGTTAACTTAGCACGGGCCAACATCACAACTGTCGAGAAAATATTCCTAAAAACTTTGTCTCAGGGCCCAACCACAGTGAGCACTCGCGATCGCCTTTACTAATATCGACTAGGGCTCACAGTAATTTGCACGTATTAATCGATCTTCCGCGAAGGTATGTTACATAAAACCATGCTTGTTCGCCATCAAATTGCCATAGAAAATTCTTATACTATTTTAATAAAATGTTACCACATAAACTGGTTCATTACCCATAGTTCCCTAGCTACATGTGGAACATGTAGTTTAAAGCGTGATGTACATAACAAGCACGTGACAGCTAGTTTACTAGTTCTGTTAAATCTGGTGCACTAAGTTCGCTGTTTCCAACTCATCTATAATTTAAACTGATGTGTTTAGTCGAATAATTTAAAATCGCTACATTTTTGTTTCTGATTTGATTCGATCTTAATTTTGCTTTATGTAATCGAGTTAAAATAATGAAGAAATAGTAATGTTTTATGGTGGTAGTAAATAGGACACTCATATTTAAAAGTAAATTTTGGGACCTAAATATTTAATATGAATAAATCTTTTTTTTTAATTGTACAGTACATAACCATAATAGGCATGTCAGTATTCTTCAAGTGACTACTTCTGACTAACGTTTCAATACTTCTAGGATCCTCATTAACAGCCACTATGATAACATTATATCTAATGGGATCTTTGATTGTGACTGATGAATATTTGAATTTCTATTTCCAGTCATCAACCGTTTCTCATTAACGATCGATGGTCTGTAGACCTTAAATTTCCATAAGGGTCTAATGGAATAGTAGGTAATAAAGTTATCTAAGTGTTTGGCCGGTTTTCTTTATAAGTGCAATTCAAGTCCCCCTTATTGGGAAATATATACATAATATATGTATAACTTTGTACTTTAAAAAGCAAAGGGGATCCGACCATAGAGAATAAAATGCAAACCTTGCCTATATTATTAAATCTCAAACGAAATAAATCTCCGTGTGGTTTTCAAGAAATAAAGCATGTCAAGTCTTCGAAATAATTTTAATCATTTCTTGAGGTCGTATAAACTCGGCTTTTATTTGCGTCATTTTTTACATTTTTACCTGATTTTTTCCTTGAATAATAGCAGAAGAATCTAATTGGACATGTGTCAGATTTAACTGTGGCACGTTTCGCTAACAACGAATACCATATTTTGACGACTGTCAAGGTTTTATAGCAAGAGGAGTCCCCGTCAATCTGTTTTACACATTTTTTTCCGCTATAATTTTTGGCTTACCGCTTTGATGTAGGTGTTCATGACAGCGAATATTATAGAATCCCCCTGGGGAACTTATATCACATTGGCGGATATTAAATGCCACATTACGTAGCATTGAACTGAGATTAACTTATGTATGTACTCGTATAAGCATGTGCTGAATTACTCTATCATGTTTCGTCAAAACTTCCATTTAAACTGCTTTATATTTGTGATCCATAATAGGTTAGGTACTTTTATTAAACTAGGATATTCGGGTGATGATGAACGGGTGTTTCGGGTATGCCGGACGTATTTTATTAAAGGTTCTGCTAGTTTTACTTGTAAAAGGAAACAAAAGAACCGGAACTCTTAAGATATGCAGGGCATGTTGCGGTCTTTATGAATAAATCATTCTTTTTTTAGGTGTACTACTATATAGTTGATTCGCCGCGGAACGAGGGGAAGGACTTTTTTGAGATCAGCATGCAGACGGGCGAGATCTTCACGAAGGTGGTGTTTGACAGAGAAAAACAGGGGGCGTATGCGCTCGAGGTGGAGGCTCGAGACGGAGCTCCGTCGGCCCGGCCTAATTCAGACAACCAGCCAAATTCAGGTATGTTTCAATGGTAGACATTATAAACCGATAAATACATTAAAATAACAAAAAAGTTTTTTGTAAATAAATGGGCGTAAATTTCTAACTCCTTCTCAGCTATGAATAAAATTCTTAAATAGTTTACAACTTTGAGCACAGGTTGATGTGAATATTATAAAAACCCTACATTTATTCCATGTGTGTGTGTGTGTGTTGATTTATTACAGTATTATTAATATAGGAATTAATGTAGACTATATAAGGTAGAGTGGCTCCATTTCTTCCAGAAATCTGCTACGCCGTGTCTCTAAATGTAATTTGCATTAATACATTTTTATTAAGTATCAGAACGAACATATAGGCTTGGCTCTATTTATTTATAACGCCGGGCCTTGTCTATATAGTGTAGGTTCTCTGTTATTTACTTGTTCTTATTTCATAGCGTTATTTGTTTATGCACATCTGAAATTAATGTTAATGAAAAATTAATAAATAAGTCTAAATGCAAACTATGTTAGTTCATTTGAGTCTAAATAATGCGGTATACTAAAATTATATTGAAAGTCCTGTTTATAGGATAAAGCTTATGAACCAGTTTCAAATGAAAGATGTTGTTAGAAAACGATCGCTACGTAATTTCTATAATATTATGTTTTCTATTTTATAACTTTGAGTTATAAAATAAGAAAATTCTTGTTATGATTTTTTTATAATTGGAATAGTTTCAGCCAATGTTTGAAGGAATTTTATGATATTTTATATACTGTTTTGAAATATAGTAATTTTGTCATTTCCAACACGAAGTGAAAATTACTTATCTATTAATGCATTTATCTAATAATTTATGCAGTATTAATATATATTAATGCTTATGGAAGTAAGTAACGCAATCAAGTAATATTTTACATAGTGATTATTTAACAATCTACGCACATATACTTAATTATACATCATAAACCGCAAAAATTTACATACATATTTATAGAGGTAAGTTAGAGAGAGCTCTCAAATAATTTATCTTATTATGAGAGAAATAATTTGAAAACAGGACGTTTGTTACTTCTTAAAGCACCTTAAACTTACCAGTAGAGTTTCGAATATGTATTAGGTTGCGATTGAAATCCAGATTCGTGGTATTTAACAGGGCCATTGTCTTTCTCATGTTTGCAAAAACATACAGGTGGTTTAACTTGTAAACTACACTGGATTTCTAGGTTATCCTTTAATTGGGTGTCGTCTAAAAGGTTTATATTAGTTAGACTTACATAAGGCATATATTGGGTAAAATCAGCAGCGAATAAACAAATGTATGTGTAAGGTGTTAACGCTCCAAAGTTGTCTACTTTTGCTGGCAGCAATTTTTATTTTTGTCCAGTAAAAGAAACGACAATGAAAGTTAAAGAACCATAATGAGATGGAGAAAGTTTGGAAAAGAAAAAATACATATTTTTTTCGGAATATAATTTGTCGATTTTTGGGGACGTAGACTTAAGGACTAGCAATAGAAATATTTCATTATCAAGAATATTTACCTCACAATCGCTGTCGCCTAAACTAACTGATTCCTAATTTGTGTATGGCGTCAACGTAAAATAAAGTTATCACACACTATGTACTAATACATGAACACTAAAATTTACTATTAATAATGTACTATTATAAAAAAAACAACCCATGTAAAATAAATTAATTTTGCAAAAAACGGTATAGATCAAATTTTGTACAGTGTTTGGTCTTTTTCATCTATTTAAGTATTAAAAAAGTTACACGGAGTCAATGGAAAATGAGATCGTAAGCATATTTTAAAATCCATTTTTGTTGTAATTGTTTAAATGTTTCTTACCTCGTATTGGCATATTTAGTAAATCAAATATTCCACCTAACCGAGACATCAAAGGCGAGCAGTCGAAGCTACTTATAATCCCAAACGTTTCCAGCGACTTCACTCACACGTGAGTAAGAAATAGTTTACGATTTCTATAACATTATACAAAATAGCATAGCAAAGTATACTTTGAAACTAATTCTGTATGAGTCACCCATTTTGCTGTAAACCATACAATCACTACAAAAATATCCTTCACCTATCTAACTCTTAGCATTATAGTGTAGATTCGGCATTGGTACCAAACTGTTATGTTAGAGCGAGCTAAGCCTTTCGTATATTATTTTATTATCCTTGACGGCGTAGAAATAGTCACATATTGTAGAAAATGTCGGTATCCAACTGAAGGAATCGTTTAAGTCTCGTTTCGCAGATGTAACAACGTAGGGTGGTCCTTGGGTCCTTGGGCTAATCACAGTCACGATCCGAATTTAAATGTCTTTTTCTCTTGAAATATATGTAACTTCGCAAGTTGCCGAAGTGGCCAATGTCGCAGTACGTATTATATATATTGGTGCGAACGTACCCTCATCAACGTGCATGTTGCCACGTGGATCTCATATTTCACAATGTTTGCCCATGTTGTCAGGATTCAGCAGCAATTGATTGTATAGGCACGTGGTATACTATAAATTGACCGTTTTCGATGAACACCCACTATTAGGTGTGCAGGTCGGTTCGCCTTGTCGTGTCGCGTCATCGTAAATCAAGCAGTGGAATAATCAGTCGGTGCCCGGGCCCCTAATCCGTTTAAGCGACTCATCCCATCTCTGTCTAACAAAGACAATAGCGAGCTTTAGGTTGTATGCAGTTGCACCAGGGCCTTCCTTTCTAGGGTATACCTGGTTCCCCGGCTATTAGTACCCGGCGAAGGCGTGCGGTTTTAGTCGGTTCGAGTCCGACATGCCACCGACAGGTGGTGTCCGAGGGGATTTCCGCACGGAAAAAAAAAAAAAAAAAAAAAAAAAAGGTTGTATGCAGTTATCTCTGTAATCAGTGACAGACTTCATAGCGTGCGATAAATGTTAAAGTAACTGGTGGCCCAACTTAACTTCACTTATAGCGAAATAGATGCTATTTCTAACCTGAATTCTGTACATCTGACTACTGCTAAAATATATTCAGGGATGTATTATGATAGTATGTATAATACCTAAAACTGAGACGGATTACATTATCATATTATGACATAACGTTAGCTTGATATTTAGGAATAATGGTATTCTCGACGAATATTGTGTCTCCGGGCCACGTACCAATTTCAGCATATTGCAGCTGGTGGTGTGTAGAAACGTGGCGCGGTATTTGCGCGCGCTACATGCATACTGATCAGGCCCCACGCCACGTGGATTTTTCGTCTCCGACGGATGACATCTCAATTCGCTCGCTTCTAACACAATCAATTACTTCGTTACGTCACTTGATTCACATCATATTTTCGTTTAGAGTATAAAAATATTTCAGAAACCAATTGCTTTTTTGCTAGTATTGCAGTCAAATTAATGAAGTAGTTCTTAATATGAAGTCTTATTGGAAGTTTAATTGTTAGATAAAAGCTTTGAAATAAAATATTTCACAATATACCAAAATACATCAACCTATATATGGAATTATACACAGGTAAAAATTTATATTTCACACTTTAGTGTGGTAAGGACGGACAAAAGGCCGAAATAAATAAATCCGAATATAAAAATGCAATGCCATCAACCACGCTGTCAACTTTTATGTACCTCATAAATCTTCATATTCATATCCAATACATTTTTGTTAGGCATCTAAATTTTACAGTATTTTACACTTTGTTGCAAAACTTACTTTGTAAATAGTTACCTATTCAACAGAATGTAGGACGCGTATCTCCTGAAAATGTTACTTCATAAATCATTAGTAAAAACAACTTCCAAATCGCAGTTAGATGTGTATAATGTGAATAGTAATTTCTTCTGAACTTGCTTCTGAAAGTACCCCGCAAGGATCATGTAAAAATATTTCTAAGGCGATTGTAATGATATAATTTTGCTACTAGTCTTAAAGCATCTTCCGATCCACTAAAATTGGTTAAACTTTAGATATAATTTGATTCTTAGTAAATACTAAGAATTAAATTATATCTAAAGTTTAACCAATGTTAGATATTCAAATGAATATCTTAGTTTTCGACTTAAGGAATAAATTCCATTCACTTCTCACTTCTCTTAAATACACTCTTCCTATTTGTGAAAAATTAAGAACCTACTTCTCTACACTAATTCAGCTAATTAGTTTAACTCTAGAGTATTTACGTAAACCCAGCTAGTAAAGATATATAAGCAGCAACTCGATAGATTTATAAGTATAAAATTACTCCAGTTCGTTGTTTGGACCTTTCGTCTGCCTGTAACGACTATCATATTGTATGACAACCGAAGCCAAGGACTTACACCGAGCCACCAACGTTGTGTTTGTAACAGCGATCATTCGATCAGTTAGATCTCAACTATGCCATTTAACGGCGTATTAATTCCAAATCTAAAGTTACGCTTCCCTCAATCTAATTAAGTAGGCTGAGCTATTGTAATCCTATAAGGTGAAATACTAACCATGAACTTCACTAGGTTTTAAGTAATGAAACAGAAATAAGATTTCATTACTTAAAACTTTAAATGTAGGTAATGTTAAAGATTTTTTTTTGAGAATCGAGGCAATATTTTTTCTTTAACGTACTTTTTCTGTCCTCCGGGATCGTTTTTGTTCTGGATTAAGATTAATGGAATCCTTTACTGTATCTTGGCAACGTGTATGCGGTTTTCTTGATGAAAACGGTAGTGTTGTTATCATCGGTGAAGGAACCGTCGTTCGTTGTCATTATTTGTAGACGCGGGTGAAAATACTGAGAATTAGGTTCCCCTATGATTTTTTTCTGACATAAGCTACTTAAAATTTTTCTTTATTTAACATATTTGTAGAATATCAGTGTCTTAAAAATGGGTCTTTTTGGGTATTAGCTAATATTTATAATTATCAGAACAAAAAACTCAATGGGCCTGTTGGGCAGTGATCTTGACTGCTGAGGCAGAGGTTGTAGGTTGGGGCACAAGCATTTGTTTTGTTTCTGGGTGTAACTTATCTATAACATGTATGTAATTAGAAATACGAGGGCGGGTCAAT